TTGCATTTAATTAGGGGGGTTAACTGCAGAGGTGGACTAACTCTGCTGCACATGGAGCTTGGGGTGTGGACGAGGCCTGGGACAAGAGAGGAGAGAGGGGTTCGCTCTCTGAGGAGGAGACAAATTAATTGCAGAACAAACAAAGACTTGTACTTCCAGTGCAAGTGTTCAGCTACATTGTACAAAACAAGAGAGCTCCGAGCATCTTGAAACCCTTAGAAATACACTAGAGATACTCTAGCAATTGCTTCCAGATAACGCTGCTGGCATTCTTAAAAGCAGAGACAGGATGGCTTTCACTGCCTGTGCTAGGTACTTAAGAAGAAAAATGTATAAGTAAGCAGGGAAAACCATACAGTTTTGAATGCTGAACTATCACAGCACTGGCTTCAGAATAGAACAATGTATTCAAGCGATATGATCAAGCCAACCCCCTCCCCGTTTGGTTTCGGAAGGAAAAGTGTTGATAAAATACATCTGCTTTATCTGTATTATCTGGTTCTTATGAAATTGCACCCAGAAATTAAACAGGTCAGGAGAAATAAGAATTCACCTGCAGTGTTAACAGTGGCAATCTCTGGGCCAGGGTCTGAATAGCAGAAAGTGAAACTGTCTGGAGAGTGACAAAATGTTGAGACAGAAACAGAAAGTGAAAGCCACCAGGCTGGATTGTTTATTGCACTTCGGAGGACTGGAGTTTGAGGTGAAAGAAGGGAATCATCCGAAGTGGAGTTCCAGAGAGGTAAGGAAATGGGGTCTTTTCTCCACTGTGATCTCAAAGGGGGCTTGTCTTGTTGTCAGACTTGCCAGATTTCTAAACTCCCACTGTGGGGTGGGGACAGAAGCAGGGAAGGGGTGCTGGTACTGTTTTGCATCATCATGCTTAGTCCTTGAGCTGTTTCACTTCTTGTTTTCTTTCCCAGGTCCAGTTTGAATGCTAATGGGTTAGTGTCACAACCCTTTTTCCTCTGGGGATTGAGTTGCATGTGTCTGGTCAAAAGGGGAGGGTAGGAAGAATCATAGTAGCTGTCCCCTCCCCAGTGTGAAGGGCTGCAGTGGGATAGGGTGGGGGAAGCTGTTGGTGACAGTGTGAAACTAGCTGGATACTGCGTGCTGTGGGGAGAAGACTGGTTTCCGGACTTGGCTGGCAACTGCACTGGGCATTAAGAATTGCCTTGCTGCAATTATTTTGCTCACATGACCCTAGCACTTTTTCCTGCCGCAGGCAGAGGGGCAGGCTCGATGATTCATTGAGGTCCCTTCCGATCCTATGAACCAGTGAGTAGGGGAAATACCCCATTTCTTACTCCCTAGGTTGGCAGAGGGAAGGAGCCAGGCAGGGCTTATGCTGTCTTTGCAACAGGAGAGAGGGCTGTGTGTGTGGTTGAGCAGTACATGCAGTGAGTGAGGAAGCAGAGCTGATGGGATCCCATTTGGGCTTCTAGGTCAGCAGGACAGCGATTGTAATAGGGTCCCAAGAGGGTGGTCTTGGGGTTCACACAGAGGCTGCATGGTAGAGGCAACAGCCAACTGGGGCTGGGAGAGGCAAGGAAGCAGAGAAGGTTCAATTATCTTTTGTTGTTGCTCACTTTGAACAAAATCCAGCCTCACAGAATTAGGGTGCAGAGCCCTCAAAGATGCTGAATGGCAACAGCTGATGAGGAAGTTGCCCACACAGATACTGTGTTCGCCTAATTAAACACATGCCTGGGACCAGGGCTGGGTGCTGAGTGGGAGGCAGACAGGCTTCCTCAAGGCCTGCTATAATAAATCCTTTTGTTCTCTTTATCTCCTTTGAAGTTAATTTCTTTGATGGGGCTGAAGTAGGTCTTGGCTGGCGCTTGTTGGCTGTTCTCTGTGATGAGAAAAGGGAACAGCCAAGAGAACATTCCCGCTGGGATCCTCTCTCATCCTGAGTGGGTTTAGGTTCTCTCCAGCTTTTTTTTGGCATTTCCTGTGTGCAAGGATTGAGAATGTCACTAGGACTATTAGGGAGTCTTGCAGAGTCCTTGAACCTGGTTATGGGCCTCCATGGTGACCCAGCTGGCTAATGTATGGGCCGAGGCCTCTCGCTAATCCCTATCATCTCACCAAACATGACGAGTCTTAGGGATCCCAAATTCAGTGACCCTGGGTTTGAGCTGGGCCCCATTGCAGCTCCCTGCATTGGGGTTTTATTGTAATCAGAACATTCAGTGGCATTTCCTTCAAGCGAGCAGCTTCCTTTGTTAAGTGGTGTTGGCCACCATCTCAGCCAGCACACCAGGGATCTCTGGAGCTGAGGGCAAGAGGTGTTACAACTTGAGCTAAAGAACCAGGTTTCTGTAGGTGAGTCCATAAGAGACTCGTATCTGCTCTGTATTGGGCAGAGTGGGAATATGGAGAACAGGCTCAACATTTTACAGAAGCAGGACATTAGCTGCCATGGTTTACCTGTGGCAGGTTAGGGTGTTAGGTCTGGTTTGTCAGGCTTGACGGTAGTCTTATGTAGAGTTTAGATTATGGTTTGTATGGGATTATTTGGATAGGGATGATCCTGCCTCAGACAGGAGATTGGACTAGATGACTCTTCAAGGTCCCTTCAAGCTCTGCTTGTCTTATGCCAGGCTCCCAATCTAGTCTCAGTGTGCCTATACCAGCTGTGCGCTGCTCTGACCTGCTGCCAAAAATAAGCCCCAGCCACCCCTGTTCTACATGCTTCAAACTGAATAGAGGTGGCAAGATTTGGGGGGGGTGCCTGCTGCTGTCAATCTCACCACAGCAGCCACATAGCTGTTGCTAGAACCGCCTCAATGTTGTTTCATTTGGAGCAAAAGTGGGTGGGTGGGACTTGCATCCTGGCAGAAGCCTTGAGTGTGGCATGGAGTCAGTACACATGTACCCCAGACTTGCTCTGCGTCCCTGTGACCTCCCACCCCATCACTGGTGGTATGCAGTGTCCCGGGCCAGCAAACATTAAGAAACAATAGGCTGTGAGCCGAGGAGAAAGAAAGAGTTTCCACGTAATACAGAGCATGAACATGGCAACTAGCACACGTTGGCTCTACTGGGCAAGAAAGCCTTTTCATTCTACCATAATGGCAAGTAAACGTAATACCCAACTGAGCCCACAACGCTTACTCACAGTGCTTCTTATTTTACACTGCCAGAGAGCCCTCCTGTTTTATTCATGATCCCAGCCTTTCTTCTATTCAGCTGGACACTGATATTTTAGAGACCAAGTAGTACAGGGTGGTTCTGGACTGCTGGCTGTTTCCAGCTCTGGAAACAAAGCAAAATGGGGCTGTCTGTGTTGTTGATATTGGACTGGAGCAGCCAGCAGAAAGTGAGATCCATCTGGAATGCAACTTTTATATCATCTCATCTGGGCTTTTGTTTTTCAATGCCCGGAGAGTTCAAATGGCAAAGATCCAGCACAAAGGACAGGAAAGACATTTTAAAGAGGAGAAAAAAAAGAAAAGCAGCTGCATTAATTTTCAGCAGTGTTGCGTTGCATTAGTTCTGTGATTCAGCTTTTCTGCTAATTTACTGTAAAACAGAATGAAAGCATCACGCCTGCCTGGAAGGGCAGCAAACTGAGTGCTGATCCAGGGCCTCCCGTTGGAGTCAGGGCCAAGCTCACCAAGTAGTTTCCTGCTGCTAAAGGAGGCACAGAACTATTGTTACTATTTTGCAGGTGGGAAAACTGAGGCACAGACAAGGATTTGCCCCCAGTGGCAGGGAGAGCAATAGAGCCCAGGAGCGGTGACCCAGGCTCACTGCATAGCCCTGGAGGGAGGCAGGCTTTCCCTCATCAGGCCTGTTTCCTTGGGGAAACCCCACCAGCTTTCTGGCCCCAGATGCCACAGCTGAGCCTGTGTGGAAGGGAAGGCTACTAACGTGGGGAGTGGGTGGACTTTGCAGCACTGCTGCCTTCTCCCCCACTTCCTCACAGCCCCATCCACATGTCCTTCCCTACCATCCTCCTCTCCACCTCCTCTCTCACCTCACTCCAAACCCTCACCAGCTTTTTTGCCTAGGCCTCTCCAAGGCCTCTACTCCCCACTCTCCCTAACCTCAGTGCAGTCTGCCCCCCCCTTACCCCATTCTTCCCAGCCACAGTGCAGCCTGCCCCACTCTCCCTAACTCCAGTGCAGCCCGCCCCCTTGCCCTTGCTCCACTCTCCCCAGCTCCCCTCGTGTTCCTACCCTCCCCCCCAGTTCCGGCATCCGGGGCCGATCACCGGAAGTTCGTGTGTACCACAACCAAGATGGCGGCGCTGAACCCGGAAGTGAGGCGGAGCGGCCGCCAGGAGGGCTGTTGAGTGCGGGGCCCCCCGGGAGCC